TGCAGGCCTGCATAGACGGCAGCATGGAGATCGTGACCTTCCTCCTGGACCACGGCGCCGACGTGAACCAGGTGGACAGCGAGGGCTGGACGCCGCTGCATGTGGCCTCCTCCTGCGGATACCCCGACATCGCCAAGTGGGTACACCCCCCCGTAGGGCTGCCCCCCCCCCCCCAGGCAGCACCCTCAACAGTACTAGCATTGGTGTGGTGTCTGGACTAGGCTGGTCCCGATCCGATATCTGGATCCGATCGGAAAATGCAGATCCAGACTCCAGATCCAGTTTTTTTTAACAGTCCGATCCCACACAAGCATTAGTATCTGTAACCCACAGGTCTGTGTCCTAACCATTAAGTTGTTATTAGAGTAATCCATCTAGAATCTGTTTGGGGGGTGTTTAAGGCTTTTTGGGGGATTTTAAGGCTGTTTTTCGGGGCTTTTAAAGCTGTTTTGGGGCTTTAAAACAGATTTTTGTGGTTTCTAAAGCTCTTTTGGGGGCTTTTAAAGTTGTTTTTTTTATGTTTAAAGCTGTTTTGAGGTCTGGGGCAGAGTTGGGATAGGAGATGCTCTGTGGAGAGGGGGGTCTTTAGGAGTTTCCTAAAGATAGAGAGGGACGCTGCTTTTCTGTAAGCTGGTAGTAAATCCCTGTTCAACATGAGTCTGACAACTAAGTAAGTAGATAAATCATTTTAAACTTTAACACATGCTCTGATAGGCCGGGATCGGGATGGAAATTGTAAACAATAGGGAGGGACATGCCTAGTCTGGCAGCTGAAGCATGAGTGGGTTAAAGTAGCTCCAACGCAGGCAGCCACAAACGAGCTTAGCCGCGATGCGCTGGTTGCTGCTCCTTGTTGTTGACCTTTGACCCCTCTGCGGGACCGAGCGTCCCTGTGACGGGACGGTGGGTCCCTGTTTGATCGGGACTCTGCTGAGCTGATTGTCTCCGTCTCTCTGTCTGTGTTCAGATTCCTCCTGCAGCAGGGAGCGTCTCTCTCTGCCGTGAACTGTGACGGAGACGTTCCTCTGGACATCGCCCCGGACGAGTCCACCGAGTCCGTCCTGCAGGATTACACGCTGAAGCAGGGTGAGTGCTGTATGCCCGACACTCCACTGCCGGGAAGCCTGAATTTTTTGGAGAAAAAAACACATCTAAATAGCACCAGTTGTCCATCCATCCATCCATTATCAATACCACTTATTCCCTGATGGGGTCGCGGGGGGAGCTGGAGCCTACCCCAGTGGTTAGCACCAGTTGTATGAATTTTTTTTTGTTCATTCAGTAAACTGAATTATTTGATTAATTAGAAAGAGTTCTGATAATGCAGAATAGAAGCTTAAAAAGGAGATAGTCCGCTGGAAAAGTGTCTTTGAATCAAAAATGTCTGATGTACAGTGAATGCAACGTCAACTGAGATTGATGATTTAAAAAAAGTGGCTAAATGATCAAAAAAGCTCAGTACATTTTCAGATAATTGGGGCCCAAAACTAAACACCAGGGTTATTTTTTCCCTGAGTTTTTGGTGTTTTGGGGGATTTCATACACCAAATGTTTGCCCCGAAGCTCAGAAAAGAGGGTTTGGATTTGAATATTGAATATACCTCCGACAACTCTTGGTTGTCTGAGGTCTTCCTGCTTCCTGTTTTTGTGAAACCCTCTGCGTGTGTGCAGGTGTGGATCTGGAGGCCGCTAAGCGTCGGGAGGAGGAGCAGATCATGACGGACGCCCGGACATGGCTGACCGACGGTCTCCCGGCCGACGTCCGGCACCCGAAGACCGGTGCCAGCCCGCTGCACGTGGCGGCCGCCAAAGGATACATCGAGGCCCTGAAGTAGGCGATCAAACCCCCCCCCCTCACCCCTTTGCTGCCTCCCCTGTAGGGTTGTAAAAAGCATCGTTACTCAGAAAAGTATAGATACTAAAACGTTGTATCCGGATACGATGCGCCCCTTCTCTCTGATTTATTTATTTACGTTGTTAGCCTTGAAGTGCTAGCTGGGGCTAATGGCTAATAACAACACGCCAACATTAATTAGTACTGCAGGAAGCCAAGGATGGATATCCAACTCCCGTACATTCAAGTCGGACATTTTGATTAGCTCACCAATAGGAAGATCCCAGGCAAGAAAATCCTAATTGCTTCACGGAAATATAGACATTAATTTAAAAATAGTGAAATGAATCTAGCAAACACTGAATTAAGCTCTATCCATAATATTATGTTAAAATAGTGGATGTTCAATAGGTTTGTACAATAAGTCCAAACAAGTTTAACCCCAAAATATTTATTTCTTACAATTATGAAGGGTGGAGGGTTAGGGTCAGGGTCAGGGTCAGGGTCAGGGTTAGGTTTAGGGTTAGGGTTAGTGTTAGGGTTAGGGTTAGGTTTAGGGTCAGGGTTAGGGTTAGTGTTAGGGTCATTAATGTGGGCCACCATAACATCAGTAACAGGTCAGTTTGAAACCAAAGACACTAACCTGTCAAAATTCAGTTAAATTTTTGGGTCTTTTTGGGTATCGAGTATCGAATATTTTCCTGAGTATCGGTATCGAGTAGAACATTTTAGTATGGTTCCCCCCCCCCCCCCCTGCAGGATCCTATGTCAGTGCGGGCTGGACGTGTCGGCCACCGACTTCGACGGCTGGACGCCGCTACACGCGGCGGCGCACTGGGGGCAGGGCGAGGCCTGCCGCATCCTGGCCGAGCAGCTGTGCAACATGGAGGCGCGCAGCAACGGGGTGAGAGGCCCCGCCCACCGGCCACGCCCACGACCAGGGGCGGGGCCTCCACTCAGCTCCGTCTGCTCTGAACTCCGCAGGGCCAGACGCCGTTCGATGTGGCCGACGAGAGCGTGGAGGAGCTTCTGGAGGAACTGTCCAGGAAACAAGCCAACGTAAGCCAGCCCCCCCCTCACAGATCAGCAGCTAACAGCACTCTGTTTAACTCATTGGCTGCCAAAGACGTCTATAGACGTCAATTCAAAT